TGTTGATTGTTTATCTCTAACAGAAATCCAATAATGTCTGAAACTTTCTCTTTTCTAAGTATATAAAAAATCTTCTAATAGAGAGATTCATCTATATCCTGGATATAGGTTAGCATCTCATAAAGATCTTCCTTCATTTAATAAACTTCATTTTCTTCTTCACTAAAGGTATGATTTAAAATATATACTTAATTAATGATTGGATCTATTGGATTCCTTAGTTAGATTTCTCAAAAAAAGCCGTTATATGTTGGTCCCACCAGCTCTTGGTTTTATCTAACTCATTCATATAAGATTTCTTCTCAGCATTCCAATCATTTAAAGTTGATCCTTCTACAATGTTGACTAATTTTTCTATATCTGTGTAAGAGAATTCAGCTTAATTTGTATTTTCCTTGATGAGATTTAAGTAAGATTGGTTTTCCTTATCAATCCAATCGTATACTTATTTGATTGATTGTGATAACTCATCCCAAATTTTCTTCATCATTTATTCGGTTCGAGAGAGTAAGGACTTAAAGGCCATTTTCTATTTGGTTCTTTCGGATGAATCATCAAACTTGGAGGAATTTAATTTCTTGATGGCCATTTCTTGAAATTTTTTGATTGGAGTTGTATGTTTTTATATATCTACTCCATGATCATTGAGGCATTCGCCACATAAATTTCTTTAGCTTTGGCACTTATGTGGAGCTATACATACCGAAGTGATTGGATTTTGTATGTGATAGGTGCAATTCATTATTATTAATACTGAATTTCTATTATCTTACGCATTTTTGTAAAATAGAAGTTAGAACTTTGTAGAGATTTGGAATTGATCGTAATTGAGATAATATATGCTATAAAGGACTCACATTAATTGATTTTTTAATAATAAAGAATATTGTTATTTTATATGACTATTTCAATTTATACATAAATTGAGTTATGATTGATTAAATTTTCTTGCTTATCTTTAATTTTTAAGTTGAATGTTTTAAGATTGGAATATCATCAATTTAATTGTAGAACGTCTTAATTAGTATTTCTTTTGATAAAATAGAGAATGTTAATTTCGATAGAAATTTAATAATAGGTTAACAGGTTAATTATTAGGAATTATAATAATAACTTTTAAGTTAAATAGGTAATCTATTCAGCTGTCAATTTTTGTAATAATTTTAACCACTAATATCAAGTTTAAATGCTGGTGAAAGAGTGAAATTAAGAATTAACTCTATACTATTAGATCTTTTATTGATTAATAAAAATAGTAAAAAACAGATTGGATATATGATAAACATGAACAAAGAAATAGTTTTTGTTGATTTTATCTTAATAACAAACTCTTCAAAATAGAATAGATTGTCTTTGAATTTGTTCTTTAATATGTTATATAATACATAAATTTAGAATAATTTTAAATATAGTGGTAGATGCATACTGAATAGGCTTTAAATTTTTTAAAGTTTATTAAAGCAATACTTCAAGTAAATAAGCATAAGTAATACTTTTATTGAAAGGGTTCATAAAAGTAATTTTGAATCAATTTGAATCTTTAATTGAATAATTAATATTGTGGATCTTTTAAGTTCATGAAATAGATTAGCTAGTTAATCATATGATAGAATAAGATCTTTAATCCGAAGATTAAGCTATTGATTCAATTAGTTGTTCTCAAATACAAAGGCTTAAAGGATGGCTGAACTTAATTTCTTTAATGCTGCAATTAATTTAATAGTTGAGTTTTAGGTTTGTTCTGCAATCCTATTTAGCTAGGTGATTTTTCAATTATCTCTAACCTTTCCCAATAGGATTTAATTGAGGAAAAAAAGGAAAGATATGAATTCTTTCCAAATTGAGAATTCCTAATGAAATGATTCGTTATCTAAGATAAAGAAATAATTCCTCAACCATACTGTTTATTGCATTAGGATAGTAATCTTAGCAGAAAACCCTTAATTAATTTTGGATTAATGTTGCCTTTAAAGAATTAAAACATTTAAAGATCTGACCCGATTGCCCTGAAAATACTTATTCTCTGTTTAACTTAAGGCCTGTCAATTTTTAAATGAAAATAATTTTAGCTCCATACCTCTAAATTATAATGCTCATTACCAATTCCAGAT